TGCTCGGGTTTCTGAATGGTTGTTCCTTCATTCAGCAGGGCCTTCAAGGTCACGGCGTTCTCAAGCACAAAATCCAGCACGACCCGCGGGAGCGGCTTAGCTCTGATGGTGAAAGTCACGATTCCCTGTGAACTGCTTCCGTGCATGGTACCCCGGACGGCGTTGGCTGTCTTGGGAGCTGCCATATCTGACGGAGGTGAGAATGAGTTTAGTGCGTACATCAGACTGTCGCTGACCAATGCCCTTGACTGCCGTTTCCCGGAAGGGAACAATAGGCTCCGAGGCATGGATCTCCACTCGTGCAAAGCGCTCTCTCAGGTCTTTCAAGCATCGCTGTTGTAAACACACTTGTCAGTTCCAATGTACGGCATCATCAGATGACGAACCTCGAAGTGCAGTTCGCCTGCTGTCAAGATCACCCACTCTCCCGTCGGTTGTTGGAAGGTTTCCACGCAAGGATCTGCTTGACTCAGCAGCTTCATCCCAGCGATCAGTCTCGGCATGTCAGCGGGTTTCGCTGGCTCCAAAGCAATCCGAAGGATAGGAGGCGCCTGGGAGCTTTTTCAATACACAAGCTCGACTGCGTCATTTGACTCACTGCTCGGTTGACGCTGCCCAAGTTGACGACAAAGTCGGGTGAAGACTCGGTGGTAGTTCCAGCTCCATTAGCATTTGGAGCACAGAGTGTCCCGCTCCTTAACACCTTCCCCTCTAGACCTTTGATCGCAAAGATGTTGCCGGGCTGAACGGTGTCGACAGCGGTGAGCTCTCGACCCATCATAACATACAGGCCCTCGACGGTCACGGATGTCACGTGCTTGGCATTGAGAGGATGGCTTGGTCCCAGCGAAGCATTGTACTTGGGCAGCACCGCACAAAGCACCATTCCAACAGAGAGCACCCCCGAATACAGCCGAGCAAAACCAAGCAGAGCCTCTGCAGTATCATCCTCCTCAGCCACGGCAGGGGCAACATCTTCCTCGGTAACTGGGCCGTCTGCACCTTCAGCAGCAAGTCGCGCCTCCTTTGCAGCCTTTGCTCTGGCTCGCATCTCATCAGCAGATAACGGCTTCTTCCTGTTCTCTGGCAAATCCCTGGCCGGGATCGAGAACATCTTGCTGACATACGCGACCACAGTAGCATCCGGTCCGTTTCGGGAAGCGAAGAGGTCTTCTTCCAACTTGTTTTTGGGTTTGATATTGGCTTCGTAAACATTGGGATATAGTATCCTCGGCATCCGACTCGCCTGAGCGACAGCAGGAGGAGGGACAACGTCGATGGCGGTTTGAATTATGCAAGTCGAAAGGGAAAGCCATTGCGAGAAGATGAGCGAGAGGAGGTGCCTAGAGTCCTTGGTTTTCAAGTCTCGCGGTGGAATTTTGAGATTGAGAGCGCCGACGATCTTGGGCACCTTTTCGCTGTTCCTATTCATTCATCTCAGTTATCAATCGGATATGCATTTTGGCAAGCGCACGGATGGATTACGACAGCATCGTAGATAGCCCAGATGTTTTCGAGGATGAATTGAACGAACAAAGGTTTCAGTGCTCGGCCCTTTAGATGTTTATGCCCGATGACTTTCTTGGTCTTCGGATCGATGTAATAGTCTCCCCATAACACTTTGCGTAGGTTTGCCTCCTTCATTCCCAGCCTTTGGGAGAAGAGCTGGGCAAATTTGCCTATCCTGAATCCCCAGCCGTCAATTGCAGACGCGAAGATGACGTTACCCCGCTCTGGTGCGAAGTATATATCTTCGTCGTCCTTTTCTTGGAACTCCTCGTCGAGTTCCGAGTCGATGTCATCTCCTTCAGCCTCTTTCCGCTCCGTCATACGGCGTTCGCGCTCTTCTCTCCAGCGCAAGTCATCCTCCATGCGGTCTCCTTCGAAGAATTTACCCATCACTGCGTTCACCTGTTCGATGAGCCGCGCGAGATGATGGTATGCTTCGACCGGGGCTAGTTGGAGCTCTGTCACAAGCCGATCGAACTTGTTGATGACAAGGATAGGCCGCAGTCTATCCAACCACGCCTGTCGAAGCACGGTGATCGTCTGGCCAAGGACATCCATGTCAGTGTCCATGAAGCCCGACAATCCAGATTGCGGCGCACTTGAGTACACACTCCTTCCACGACGTCGACGAGAACCAGAGCCCCATCACATAAACGCGAGGCACTAGAGACCTCGCTCGAAAAATCGACATGGCCCGGCGTATCGGTCATGTTCACGACGTACACCTTCGGGCTGTTGCCTAGTCAAGATCATTCGGGTCTGTAGCACTCTCCACAAGCCGGCGGCGCACTTTCTTTGTCCATGACCTGGAAACGAAGCGAAACAGCGCTGCTCTCCATTGTGATGCCTCTCTCTTGCTCGTCTTCTCGACTATCGAGGTAACGCATCTTTCCAGCCATCCGCGGTGAGATGATGTTATTGGCGGCCAGAAGAGCATCCATGAGAGTGGTTTTTCCATGATCGACGTGCCCCAGGGTGGTGAGAATGCGAACATTAGCTGGATCTGGTGCAGCCATCGTGGTCGAAGTGGAGAAACAAGTCAGGCCGGAGCCGCAAACTTTCGGGTTAGACTCTGGTGGCGGTGTTTCAGAGATTGCACATTGATTATCACACGCGAGGTTATCGGGACAGGCATTGATTACTTTTCTACGCGGTAAATAATGTGGGTGAAGGTATGAACGGGCAAGCTGTCCGTGATTCGAGCGTTTGTGGGCGATCACGAATACAGTTTATGTGTAGAATTTACGGTTAGGGTTGGCACCGAAGAGGTCATGACGGATCTCCGGGAGCATCTGAAATGGCGATTACATCGAGTGGAACCCTATACGGAAGTAAAATCACTGACCCGGTCCTCCAGCAGCCGCAGACGCTCGTCCAGTGTGTTGTCGAGTGTGATACGCTTGGAACCACTGACGACCTTGACACCACCGGCGCTGTAACGAACCTTTGAGGACAAAAAAAGCTTTGCGGAGTTGCCTGCTTACCTATCGTCCGCCAAGCTACCCTCGACCGTATACTTGATCTCACGTCCACTCAGTTCGGTGTAGGTCTTGGCAGCAGCGGCCGCGGCCTGTTCACCAATATCCACATCGCCTCGACGGACGTGGACAGTGGCAGCCGGTTCGTAGACTCGGAGGAAGCTCTGGACGATATCGCCTTCCAGGAATTGCACGTAGCGAGAGTTGTCCTTGGCCAGAGCTGCGACGGCATCCCTAGCACCAGATAAGAGATCCTGCAGATGCTCTTCGCGCTGCTGCAAGAGCTTGAGACGGGAGCGGTTTGTCAGTGTGGATTGTGCACTTGGAAAGAGTATAAGGCGACATGTGTCAAGGTCGAGAAATTACGCACATCTTCTGGGCGACCTCTGCATCCTTGCGTTTCTTCTCATATTGGGTGTCAATAGCCTGCTGCTCTTGCTTGACCAGCTTGGCCTGCAATACCTGGTGAAGCGAGGATCAGGGAATTGAGGGGATATGGCGGACCTTCTCAATTGCAAATTCCTCATCAGCCTTCACTCGAATCTCACGAGCCTTTTCCATGGCTTCCTGACGAATGAACGCGACCTAGGATATGGCTTTCAGAGATGTTCTTCGGCAATGCAGATATGCGCAGTAGCAACAGTGGTTTGTCCGATTTGAACAGGAGCTGGAGCGGCTGGCACATAATTGTTCCACCAACCATCTTGTTCATCTCGTTGAGGACTTCATCGTCGTTCATTGGCCGAGACATTTGAGCGATCGGAAACTGGTGGTGGACTCTGGGTGTCAATGGGTGTCGGAGAGCAAGATGTCACCGATTCGGTGGCTGTGATCTCATAGCGTGTCAAAGCAGGGCAAACACATTGTAGGAAACCCCGGATACGAGTGGATGTGATGTAGAGATACAGATAGAATGATCGTTGTACAATGCGCATAAGCTAAGAAAGGTCCATCGGGCCCTCGCCCTCTGCTGGAAAACACAGTTCGCTCTCGTCTGCGGCGGCTTCGTCGTCATCTTCGTTCCAATCACTCGTAGTTTCCCAATCGTTTTCAAACTCGACGTCCACAGCCAACACATCCTCGTCATTCTCGCTCAACAGGGGCAGGAATGACAACAGACCAATTTGTGCAGCGGAGCGATGGGACACCGGTTGCACCCACCGTCGCTCTCGAAGACGCTTGTGCCGTTCCCGATCCTCCTCTATACGCCTGAATTTTTCCGTGTCGTCCAGAGAGGAATGAGACGATTTGCGATGCTCTGATGGTGGAGGCCGCTGGTCAAGCATAGTAAGAACGTCATCCACTGTTTGGGGATCGACAATCCTCTTGTTTCGCCAGTTTTCGAGGATCTTGAGAACATCACCGGGTGACCCAACTTCTAGATCTAAACACACACCTGCTTCGCACTCGTAAGATTGGGCAACCCCTCGCGTCCGACAGGCACAACGCATTCCACGATCTTGCTTATATCTCGACTGAGATAGTCCATATAGAGATTATTCCCGGGCATGGAACCGGTCAGATTGGAATGCGACTTGACAAGCAGACATGTTTCGGAGAGGGAATCGAGGAAATGCAGGATGTTGATTCGGGAGTTAATGGTGCCCTGCAGACCGAGTCAGAATGCGACAGCCGTTGAACACGCGAAAACGCGCCCTTTCGCATTGCTCCACAATACAGTCCCATAGATCTTCGCCGCACGATGAGAAATATTTCATAGCGAAGTTCCGAACTTTAGATATTGACTGTTGAGAACTGATTGAGCCAATTAGGGAAGAAAGTGGGGCAAAAGGGCACGACTGAACGCGTTAAGTTTTCTCAGGAGCTCCAAAAAAAGCATCCGAACTTCGAAAGGATCCATCTGAGCGCGCGCAAAGGTCGAGAGTGAGGCTGGGATCGAATTGAACAAACAAGGGCAAGCGAACCAGGATAACGGGTCAGTGATGTTTTCAACCCAGCACAGTGGTATAGCTGATTCAGAGACTCGGCCCGGTTCAATTAACTTATACCCTGCTCTCATGCATAGTTTCTTGTTGGGCGCTCACAGACGCATCGATTCTCGTTTACCAGAAGGGATGCCACTCTCAGCTGTGGGCCTCCGCTGAGTCACGAGCTCCCATCGGCTTGGCACAGCTTTTGCGTCTTTCTGCACCACTCTCACTGTCCCCCGCTCCAACAAATACCCTCTTGATCTTCAACCACCCACTCCCGGATTTATCAGGATGAACGATGGCATTAGCAGTAGCTCGGGCGATGGGGATATCGAGCTTTCCCGTGTTCCTACTGTGAATGGCTCCGACACTGACAAGGATCCGCTCTTGCTGGCCAGCCGTCTTCAAAGCGAAGAGCATATTAAGAATCTGCGCCAACGCAAGAGACACAAGAAGGGGGGCGTCGTTGTCGGAGAGTTTTATGAGAAGCAGAACAAGCAAATTGCTTCGCTTTTGATGACCATGGACGAGCATATCGAAAGCGCTCAGGCGGAAGAGGAGACGAATCGATTGGCGGTCTGTGTCCTCTGCTCTCCTCTCGTTATTCGATTCTTATTCGACGTGAACAGATTAAAGTGGCCATCTACGGCTCCCTCGCAGCGAACTGGTCAGTGTCTTCAAGGGATCAGTCCCATTCTCTCTTAGCTTTGATGCAGTGTCCTGGCTGTGCTCCAAATATATGCTGCTATTTCTTCGCTGTCTCTGTCGTTTTTCGCGACGGCTATAGATGCTGTGTGCGACCCTATGGCGAATGTCGTTCTTCACATCTGCCATCGGAAGGCCATCTCGGCGGACCCGAACAGATATCCTTCTGTGCGCCACATCCCAGTCTGCGTATTCTAGCTCGCTGATTTGTGCAGGGTGGAAGCAGGCTGGAAACGATCGGTGACATAGTGTATGCCAGTGCGATGGGCTCTGTCTCCACCATTCTCATCGTACGCCCTCGCCCTATGGCTCGTATTTGTCTTTCTCAGCGTTTGCAGGCATTCTCGGTTCAGGATCTGGCTCGTGGTGCACCGAGTGACCGAGCGCTTCACATCCCATCTGTCATCGTCGTCGCCATATCTTTCTGTCAGTCGCTTTCTCTCGTTGACATGTGATACTGACCCGCGTCGTAGTCGTAAAGCTCGTACTTTTCATATATTGCTACTCGATCCGCTCCAAGAACTCTCAAGTCCGCGTGCTCTGGGAAGACCAGTCAGTTGTCCTGCGCTGTCTGTGATCTTTACCTGAGTGCCTTCAGCCGGAACGACTTGTTCATCAATGGTTTTGGTGTGCTGACTTCTTCTGCCGGTGCCAAGCTCCGCTGGTGGATTGACCCCGCTGGTGCGATGATCATCTCAAGTTCGTCTTACTGCGCTAGTCACATCACAAATCCTGATTAACTTCTAGTCGCTCTCATTTTACTGTGGGGCACAACGATCCGGAAACAGTTCCTTCTTCTTGCTGGCATCTCCGCTCCGATCGAGTTCCAACAACTGGTGATATACAAGGCCATGATGTTTGCGGACGATATCAAGCAAATCGACTCTTGCAAAGTCTACCACGCTGGTCCTGTATGTCTCACAGCACAGCCCATCCCGCCGTCAATCTGACGCACGCGACAGGACTACATTGTCGAGCTGGACATCGTGATGGATGCGGACACACCGTTGTGGAAGTCGCACGACATTTCACAGGCTCTGCAGGATAAGATCGAGCAGCTGCCGAACGTCGGAAGAGGCAAGTTCATTTCTCTCCCTGATTTAACTGATCGCTCATGCACTGTGAAGCTTTTGTCCACGTTGACCACGAGATCAGCCATAAACCAGTGCGTCCTTAGAGTTGCGTTGACTGCTTAGACTCACTAGTCTCCCAGGAGCATGGCAAAACCAAGTGACGATGCTACCCTTGTAACTTACGGTATTACGTCTGTGTTCTATTCCAATTTAGCTCACGGGGCTTTCGACCGGACCCTCGTATTGAGCGACAGATTCAAGCAGTTTGATCCAACGCCCCGCGTGCCACGTTTTGAGATCCTTCCAGAACTCGCTCTCTTTTCCCCATCCTATCATATACCACTTGAGCTCCCCGGCAACAACCAGATCCCCAAAGGACAACTGGTCACCCATGACGTAAGGGCCGGCACTCTCCTCATCGAGCCACTCCGCGAACTTGCCATAGTTCTCCTGCAACGACTGCCACGCCGCATCGCGCGCCTCCCCCTCCGGCACCAGCTCCTCGAGGGGCTTCCCGAACGACTCCGCACGGGTCCGGCGGAAGTACTCCCGGCTGCGCGGGAACAGTATGTCCGGGACGCCGGGTAGGATCAGCGGCACCACGGGCTCCGTCATCTTGTCGAACGCGAAGCGGAAGGTCTTCTGAAGCGTGCGCGTGCCCTGCGGGATGAGCCGTGGCGTGTCCGCGTACGTCGCGTCCAGGTACACGGCGATGCGGAACGAATCGGAGACGACCGCGCCTGTGTTCGGGTCCTGGATCGTGGGCAGCGAGTAGTAGGGTTTCCCGTTCTTGCGGATCATCGACGGCTCCGCGCCGATGCGCAGGCAGTGGTCTGCGATGTCCGGGTATTCGATCCAGACGGTCTTGTACGGGAGCCCCTTGTAGTTCAATGCATATCTGAAGGTCGGGTGCTCAGAGCGATCTATGCGATCGCGACTGATTGGGAGTCAAGTACCTGATAATCCAGGTGTTCGGCGACCAAGCAACTCCAGGAACCGAGGACGGGATGTCAAAGAAAAGAATGGGCTCAGTCATGGATCGGCCGGAAGAAAGGTGCCAAACGTTACAATGCTCGTAAGTCTAAATAAGACTCCGGAGCTGACGATGCTCAGTCATCCGAGTCATCACTGCCACGATATCTGTTTTCTCTTACTCATCATCGCTTTATTTAGAACCGATACAGCGCACAACTAGCAACTGCCAGTAGATTTGGAATTGGATAGATGATCGGGGGTGCTACTACAACTACACTGAGAGCGCTAATGGCGGGTGCTACGAATGTTTTTCAATCAATTATTCAAAGCAGGAAAGTATTGGGATATGGGACAAATCCACCCCAGGGACCTCTAATTATTACGTAAAATGGCTTCGAGGCCCCCTCCGGAGGCCATCAAACCACCCCCCACCCCCTGATTGGAGGCCATCCTGGAGGCGCCTTCTAGTGCTCTCAGGGTTCAGTTTGGAAATTGGTTTGAACCCGAACTGAACCGAACTGAACTCGGGTTCAGGGTTCAGGTTCGACCAAATGCCCGGACCAAAAAAGCCAAACTTGGTTCCAACTGGTTCGAACCATCAAAATTATTTTAAGGCATTTTCGTAGCTGAACAGGCTTGGAGAAACTCTTTCCATCCCCCAAAAGTAGAAATTCTATACAACTCAACTTGTTTGAGGTGTGTCTCAATAAATTTAGGGACAAACCAAGGATTCTGTCCAGCGCAAGACCCAGTGATGCTGATGTAATCATCTCAATGTCAAAGTTTTTGGGTAACTATGCCCTGAAAAATTGTCCAAAAAGATCTCCAAACCTATCAGGATCTGCTTGTTTTCATCTCAAGACTTACTGTACTATTACGACCGTAGCTTCAGCCAGGGTGACCAATGACAGCTTAGCTTCATCAGAGCACAGCTCCACGGACCGGAATGACTGATGACAGTGGTCAAATAGCTTGATCATGGTGTCGTTGCCAGTTCCCGGCACCCGTTGTTACCAGGCACCACCTCACCACGGAATTGCAACAAATAATGATGAGATTTGCAATAAAATTGTAAGAAAGTGATGTCATTAGTAATGTGTCTCCGTATCCATGCTGTATTTGGCGAGATTCCAGTCCTTTACACAAAATTAGCTTTCTTTGGAATGATATTCTTATCTTGCTCAATCCCGAAACCCGCAAACAACTGTAGAGCTATTTTTCGATGTAATAGACTCAAAAATCCCACTCAAAATGCCAAGTTTTGATTTAAAAAAAAACCAAATGTCATCAGCTTCAAGGCCCTCGATGACTGATGACAACAGGGAATTAGCTTCGCTTCATGACTACCGATGACTGATGACATGAAGCTATGGTTGTAATAGTACAGTACAGTCAAAGCTGTTATAAGCCATAGCTGACATAATCCATAATCAGTTAAAATCCATACTTTTTGGCCCCTACCTACTATATCCCTCAATTAAAACCCATAACATTGTGATACCTCATAATCCATCCATTTTGGGCAAGAATCAAACTTGAGACGAGCTGAGAACCCATACTTTGATGGGATCACTGACAGAATCTGACAGGACTTGACATTGATCAAGGGCTGCCAGAAATTTTCTGCCGTGGTTATGTCTCTCTCAGTGCTCAAAACCACCTTTGAGGAGCTCCAGCGTAGCTCAGCACTCAAAAGAAAGAATCTCATAGCTCGTTTGGCCAAAAACAAGGAGATCTCCTCTGAAGAAAAAGCTTGGCTTGATGGAGACGGGAATCTGGTGGAAGAACAGGTTGTACTCAACAAGCTGGAGGCAGCCTCTGATTACAAGCGTGGACTGTCTTGCTTGGACTCCACTGCACAGGCTGTCGTTGCTAGGATCCTTGCTGTGATTGATGTGAAGAAAAAGCCCAATGTATCAGCTAAGTGAAAACATGAGACAATCACCGTCTATCACTGTCATGAGAACACAAGATTGCCGTGTCATAGTTCGACCACTTTTTCATCTTATCATTGACCATCTTATTTTATCTTGGCATGGATTATCTTATCACGGATCACGGCATCAGACGGTCCGGACTAGGGGTTCCAGGGATTATCTCTATCGATTCGAGGCTGCGTGACATATGCTCCGGAAGGTTCTACTACAACCCATGACCAGTGTTCCATGCGGTACATAGTCTCATGACTCATTAGTTGTAGATATGACTCAGACTGGATTTGGGTATAAATACTGTAGCTACTTGGTGGTTGTATTCTCCAGTCTTCAAATTCACTTCTCTTTTCGACTTTGTTTTTGGGTTGATTGTCACATAATTCGAAGACTCCCCTCATACCCTCCTACCTCGTACCTCTTACCGCTGCATTCCTCACCGCTACGCCCGCTATATCCTCTTCATCCTTATCAACTCACTTATCTTTCTACCAAATCATCTAGTCGTTCTCTGTGATCGCAGAGAAGGGTTCATATTGAGCAAACTGCACCAGGCTACGGGTAACGTTGAGCCTGACCCAAGCCCTACGGTAGCTACAAGGAGTGCTGCGGAGACCTTTGGGAAAACGCACCTCGGGATCATCGGGCACATGAAGAGATAGGCCCGGGATCTTTTTTGCTAGCAAAAGAACCCTCCCTCGAGTGCTTGTACAGCACACAAATCCACCATTTTGTTCCGATTCCCATCCTTGTCTGGGAGCCTGTCCCCTCCTCCCATCCTACCATCGTCGCCCAATCTGGCGCATCAAAACCAACCCAGACCCTCCAATCCCTACCTTGCCCTCCCACCGCCTGAAGACGAGATCCCCGACCTTGACGAGTTGCCCTCCAAACAGCCACCCCCATCCACCACACCTGCTCCTACCATGTCAGGTCACCATCGCATCACCCTCGCCGCCAACCCCCCCTACTTCAATGGGGACAAGTCCAAATATCTGGGCTTTGTGGATGCGTGTACCATTTACATTGGTGCCTACTGATCGGAGTTCGCACTGGACAAGACAAAAATCCTTTTTGTCCTTTCCTACCTCCGTAATGAAACTGGCACAAGCTGCGCTGCCTCAAGATGGGCAATGAACTGGAAGCAGCACAACTTCGATGGCTTCCAGGGACTGAAGGCAGGGATCACGGCCAAGACCTTCTTGGAAGCACTGCAGAGGACTTTTGGGGACTCCAATGCGGAACAAGTTGCCGCCACCCGACTCATGGCCCTGCACCAAAACAAACGGTCCTTTGCAGACTACATCTCCGACTTTGTGATGTTGGCCGCGGATGCGGGATACAATGTGGTCGACACCACCAATGACAAGGGCGAATACAAGAAGGGGGACCAAGACAAGATCCTCATTGAGTTCCTGGAGCGCGGACTCAGCAGCAAGATTGCCAGTCGCCTCTACAACATGGGTGTCCCTCTGCCCAAGGCCTATGGAGCGTTCAAAGCCTGGTGCATCAACATCGAAGCCAATGCTCTGCATGACCAGCTACGCAAGGCATCCTACGGGCATCCCACAACACAACCACCTCCCCAATTCCGCCCGCAGGCGGCTCCAACAATGCCTACACCTGCTCCGGCACGACCCGCCACCAATGAACCAGTTCCAATGGAAATTGACCGCACCAACGCCCGCGGCTGCAACATCATCTGCTACAACTGTCAGCAGCCTGGGCATATCGCGCAAAACTGCCCGGAGCCAAGGAAGAAGCGCACATTCTTCAATCGGGCCACAATTCTAGAAGAGATCAAGAACGGGGACAAGGACAACGAGTTCCTCAAGGAGATTGCCAAGAAGCTGCGCAAGAAGGGTTTTTGAAGCGCTCCACTCCTCTAGCCAAGGAGGTGGAGCATCCGGACTATGGACGTTTTCCTGTACTTGTTTCGATTAAAGATATGAACGATTCTCCTCATACATACACGATCTCAGACTCACTACGTACTAATATTCATGATTTTCTCATTGCTGATATGGAAAAGGAACGTCAAAGAAAAATAGCTTTAAATAGAGAGTATTTACAGAGTAAAAAGGATCAGAAAGCTGCAGACAAATTATTGGACTCCTACGTATTTATGGCTCGTGGAGAAGAAACCACGTCAACAAAGACCGAAAAGGGGAGCATTGCTCTGGAGGCTTGATCCTTGGAAAAGGAGGAAGCACCTAAGGAATCTGCCAAAATCAAGGTTCCAGAAGCACCCAAACGCACCAGGGTGCCAGATGCCGTCCAGAGGAAATTGGTGGCCAAGAAGCAGAAGGGCCCCCAGCCCAGCAGATTGGCACAGGAATTGCGCAACTACCAGGCCAAAAGGAAGAGGCATTTGATGGACGTATATGTCCAGATCATGGGCCTGGACTTGGGAAAGACACGCGGAGTAAAGGCGCTGCTTGATAGTGGCTGCAGTACCTGTTGCATTGATACCGACTACGCGCGGGCAGAGAAGTTGGATATCCAGGAACTCCCGCAGCCCATTCTAGCTTGCAATGCCGACAACACCGAAAACATCAACGGTCGGATCACACATTACGTCGACCTGAGGATGAGAATTGGTCCTCATGTGGAGACATGCACGTTCCTTCTGACATGTCTAGGGAAAGCTCGGATCTTCATCGGCCTGGATTGGCTGATGGAACACAACCCCGAGGTGGACTGGCGGGAGCAGACAATGAGATTCAGCCAATGCCCGGAGCAGTGTCAAATGAGGGGTCAGGAGGAGCACCAGGCAATGATCGATATGGATGCAATTGATCTGAACACAAACAGACCGGATCTGGAAGAAGGGGAATCGATCTTGTTGGTCGACTTTGGGAAGGAGGTGGATCTTCGGCTAAAAGAAACACCGGCGCAGAAATTTGCAGAAGAAGCGGAGAAGGAGAAGGAGCGAACAACTGAAGGGAAAATTCCGGAGCAATACCAGGAGTTTGTCAAGGTCTTCGCAAAGGAATCATTTGACTCGCTGCCGGATCGACGAGCATGGGACCATGCAATCGAACTCAAGCCCAGCTCCAAAGCAGTGGACTGCAAAGTCTACCCGCTATCACGAAATGAGCAGGTCAAACTAGACAAATTCCTGGAAGAGAACCTAGCCAGCAGATGGATCAGGCTATCAAAATCACCCCTGGCTTCAGCGTTCTTCTTTGTCAAAAAGAAGGACGGCTTGCTACGCCCCGTCCAAGATTATCGGTGAAATGCTGAGGGTGAGCTCACAAGTGAATCTACTATGAAGGTAAACCCAAGTATAAACACGTTCACACTCCTGTCATAGTTCGGCCACTTTTTCATCTTATCATCGACGATCTTTCTTATCTTGGCACAATCTATCTTATCACGGATCACGGCATCAGACGGTCCGGACTAGGGGTTTCAGGGATTATCTTCATCGATTCGAGGCTGCGCGACATATGCTCCAGAAGGTTCTACTACGACCCATGACCAGCGTTCCATGCGGTACATAGCCCCGTGACTCATTTGTTGTAGATATGACTCAGACCGGATTTGGGTATAAATACTGTAGCTACTTGGTTGTATTCTCCAGTCTTCGAATTCACTTCTCTTTTCGACTTTGTTTTTGGGTTGATTGTCACATAATTCGAAGACTGCCCTCATACCCTCCTACCTCATACCTCTTACCCTGCATCTTGCACCGCTACGCCCGCTATATCCTCTTAACCCTTATCACCCCACTCACCCTTTTACCGAATCATCTAGTCGTCCTCCACCATCGCAGTGAAGGGTTCATATCAAGCAAACAGCACCAGGCCACGGGTAACGTTGAGCCCGACCCAAGCCTTACGGTAGCTACAAGGAGTGCTGCGGAGACCTTTGGGAAAACGCACCTCGGGATCATCGGGCACGTGAAGAGCTAGGCCCGGGATCTTTTTGCTAGCAAAAGAACCTTTCCTCGAGTGCTTGTACAGCACACGAATCCACCATTTCGTACCGATTCCCATTGTCGTCTGGGAGTCCATCCCCTCCCCCCATCGTACCATCGTCGCCCGATCTGGCGCATCAAAACCAACCCGGGCCCTCCGACCCCTACCTCGCCCTCCCACCGCCTGAAGACGAGATCCCCGACCTCGACGAACTGCCCTCCGAACAACCACCCTTGCCTCCACCTCACACGCCTGCCCCTACCATGTCAGGGCATCACCGCATCACCCTCGCCGCCAACCCCCCCTACTTCGATGGCGACAAATCCAAATACCTGGGCTTTGTGGACGCGTGCACCACTTACATCGGTGCCTATCGATCGGAGTTCTCACAAGATGAGACCAAAATCCTCTTTGTCCTCTCCTACCTCCGTAACGAGAACGGCACGAGCTGCGCTGCCTCGAGATGGGCGATGAACTGGAAGCAGCACAACTTCGATGGCTTCCAGGGACTGAAGGCAGGAGTCACATCAAAGAACTTCCTGGAGGAGTTTCAGAGGGCGTTCGGTGACTCCAATGCGGAACAAGTCGCCGCTGCTCGGCTTATGGCCCTGCGTCAAAACAAACGGTCCTTCGCGGACTACATCTCCGACTTTGAGATGTTGGCCGCGGATGCAGGCTACAATGTGGTTGACACCACCGACGACAAAGGCGAATACAAGAAGGGGGACCAGGATAATATCCTCATCGAGTTCCTGGAGCGCGGACTCAGCAGCGAGATCGCCAGCCGTCTCTACAACACCGGTGTCCCTCTGCCCAAGGCCTATGGAGCGTTCAAAGCCTGGTGCATCAACATCGAAGCCAATGCTCTGCGTGACCAGCTGCGCAAAGCGTCGTATGGGCACCCCACACAACGACCATCTCCCCAGTTCCGTCCCCAAACGGCACCAGTGGCGCCCACACCCGCTCCGGCCCGACCCGCTGCCAACGAACCGGTTCCGATGGAAATCGATTGTACCCACGCCCGCGGCCGCAATATCATCTGCTACAACTGTCAGCAGCCCGGGCACATTGCGCGGAACTGCCCGGAGCCCAAGAAGAAGCGCACGTTCTTCAATCGGGCCACAATGCTGGAAGAAATCGAGAACGGGGACAAGGACAACAAGTTCCTGAAGGAGATTGCCGAGAAGCTGCGCGAGAAGGGTTTTTGAAGCGCTCCACTCCTCTAGCCAAGGAGGTGGAGCGTCCGGACTATGGACGATTTTCTGTACTTGTTTCGATTAAAGATACGGACAATATTTCATCTACATACACGATCTCAGACTCACTACGTACAAATATTCACAATTTTCTTATTGCCGAGATGGAAAAAGAACGCCAGGAAAAGATAGCTCTAAATAGAAAATACTTACAAGATAAAAAGGATCAGAAAGCTGCAGATAAATTATTGGACTCCTACGTATTTATGGCTCATGGAGAAGGAACCACGTCAACAAAGACCGAAAAGGGGAGCATCGCTCCGAAGGCTCGATCCTTGGAAAAGGAGGAAGCGCCCAAGGAATCTGCCAAAATCGAGGTTCCAGAAGCACCCAAACGCACCAGGGTACCAGATGCCATCCAGAGGAAATTGGCGACCGAGAAACAGAAGGGCCCCCAGCCCAGCAGATTGGCGCAGGAATTGCGCAGTTACCAAGCCGAAAGAAAGAGGCATTCGATGGACGTATATGTCCAGATCACGGGCCTGGACTCAGGGAAAACGCGTGGAGTCAAGGCGCTGCTCGATAGTGGCTGCAGTACCTGCTGCATCGACACCGACTACGCACGGGCAGAAAAGCTGGATATCCAAGAGCTTCCGCAACCCATTGTGGCTCGTAACGCCGACAACACCGAGAACATCAGCGGTCGGATCACACACTACGTCGACTTGAGAATGAGAATCGGTCCTCATGTGGAGACACGCACGTTCCTTCTGACGTGTCTGGGAAAAGCCCGGATCTTCATCGGCCTGGATTGGCTGACGGAACACAACCCCGAGGTGGATTGGCAGGAGCAGACAATGAGATTCAGCCGATGCCCAGAGCAATGTCAAATGAGGGGTCACGAGGAGCACCAAGCGATGATCGACATGGATGCAATTGACCTGGACGCGGGTGCACCGGATCTGGAAGAGGGAGAATCGATCTTGTTGATCGACTTTGGAAAGGAGGTAGACCTACGGCTGAAGGAAACGCCGGCGCAGAAATTCGCAGAAGAAGCGGAAAAGGAGAAGGAGAGAATGACCGAGGGAAAGATTCCAGATCAATACCGAGAATTCGTCAAAGTATTCGCCAAGGAATCATTCGACTCGCTACCGGACCGACGGGCATGGGATCATGCGATCGAGCTCAAACCAGGCTCCAAAGCAGTGGACTGCAAGGTGTACCCCTTATCGAGAAACGAGCAGGTCAAACTCGACGAGTTCTTACAAGAGAACCTAGCCAGCGGACGAATCAGGCCATCAAAATCACCCATGGCATCGGCATTCTTCTTTGTCAAGAAGAAGGATGGCTCGCTACGGCCTGTTCAAGATTACCGGAAGCTGAATGAGATGACGATCCGAAATCGGTACCCGCTACCGCTGATTTCCGAACTGGTCCACAACCTGTGCGGCGCCAAGTTCTTCACCAAGCTAGACATCCGGTGGGGATACAACAACGTACGGATCAAAGAGGGCGATGAGTGGAAGGCTGCGTTTCGCACAAACCGCGGACTTTACGAGCCCTTGGTTATGTTCTTTGGTCTCACAAATTCCCCGGCAACTTTCCAAAACATGATGAACGACATACTCCGGGAACTGATCAACGAGGGACATGTGGTAGTTTATCTGGACGACATACTAATCTTCACAGAAGATCTGGATGAACATCGACGAATCACCAAACGGGTACTCGAATTGCTCCAAAAGCACAAATTATACCTGAAGCCGGAAAAGTGCGAGTTCGAACGCACGGAAATCGAATACCTGGGTGTAATCATTGGACACAACTCGATGCGGATGGACCCTGTCAAGATCAAGGGCGTGATGGAATGGCCGGAACCAAAGAGCGTCAAACAAGTCCAAGCCTTCCTCGGATTCACAAACTTCTATCGACGTTTCGTTCGGGGATATGCGGAGGTCGCCAAGCCTTTGACGCGGCTGACAGGGAAGGCAGGATGGTCATGGGGTCCGGATGAACATGCGGCGTTTGATGGGTTAAAGAAGAGAATCGCGGAGGATGCCGTCTTAGCACTGCCAAATGACACTGGCCAATATCGTCTGGAAGCCGATGCTTCGGAAGGGGCAACAGGATCAGTTTTGAGCCAAAACCAAGACGGCATTTGGCGCCCAATCGCATTTATTTCGCACGCATTGACCGAAACCGAGCGAAATTATGAGATCTACGACAAGGAGATGCTCGCAATCATGTTATCACTTGACGAATGGAGGCAGTTGCTCCTGGGAGCCACGGAAACGTTCGAGATCTTCACCGATCATCAGAATCTCGAGTACTTTCGGAAGCCGCAGAAGCTCAATCGACGGCAAGCACGATGGATCACGGAGTTGGCGGAGTTCGATTTCACCTTACGACACCGACCCGGCGCACTCAACCGCAAGGCGGACCTCCTGTCCCGACGAGCAGATCACGATCAGGGCAAGAACGACAACAAGGACGTCACGCTACTGAAGCCCGAGTTCTTCCGATCACAAGAAGTCACATTCGAGGGACAGGATCAGCAGCTAATCGACGAAATCAAGGCCATTCGATCAATTGATGGAAGCGTCAAGGCGGCCTTAGAGAAGTCACTCGCCGGATGGAAGAAGGAAGAGGGGCTTATCACGTACCATGGGAAGCTCTACGTACCAAGGGACGAGGAGTTGCGGGACAAAATCATCGGACTACACCACGACACCCCTTTGGTCGGACACGCCGGGATCAACCGAACGCAGGAGATGGTGGAAAGGAACTACTGGTGGCCAAGGATGGGAAACCAAATTCGGAAATACATCCAGACGTGCGAAGCGTGCCAGCGGACCAAGACCAGAAGAGCCAGGACAGGGAGTTTGCACCCGCATGCAGTTCCAAACGCGCCGTGGGAAATCATCTCTATGGATCAGATCGGACCCCTGCCGGTCAGTAACGGGTATGACGCAATTCATGTGTGGTGTGACACCTTCACCAAAATGATCCATGTCGAACCAATTAGTACTGACATCAGCAGCGAAGGAGTAGCACGATTAACCAGGGACCGAATCTTCCGCTATCACGGGGTCCCCCGCAAAATCATCACTGACAGGGACTCTCGATACATCAAGGGCTTTATGAAGGAAACGAATCGGATGTTGGGCGTGGAAATGAATCCGGGGACCGCATATCACCCCATCACGGATGGGCAGACGGAGCGTATGAATCAGGAGATCGAACACTATCTCCGCATTTACGTCAACTACCATCAGACGGACTGGTCGGAGTGGCTGGGAATGGCGGAGTTCGCATACAACGACAAAATGAACACGTCTACCAAAATGTCGCCGTTCTATGCTAATCACGGATATCACCCATGGAAGGGAGTGGAGCAGCGGATGGAATCAAGGAACGAGTCGGCGGAGGAATTTGTAAAAAGAATCAAAGAAATACAAGACGAAGCAAAAGCAGCATTGGAAAAAGCAAAAGAAAAAATGAAAAAATACTACGATAAACAAAGAAAAGAAGTTCCGGAGTTGAAGGTTGGGATGAAGGTGTACATAGAAGGGGAAAATATCGAGACGGATAGACCATCAAAGAAGATGAGCGACAAGAGATTGGGACCATACGAGATACTGGAGAAGGTTGGAGCGGCCGCATGGAAGCTGGATTTGCCGGACACGGACCGAAGACACCCGGTGTTCAACGAGTCACTGTTGACACCCTATCATGAACCACCCCCCCATCGCCGAGAGAAGAGACCCGTGGCCAAGATGATCGGAGGAGCAGAGGAGTGGGAAGTCGAAGAAATCGTGAAAGAGCGAAAAGTCGGCCGAGGAAAACAGTACTTGGTCAAATGGAAGGGATGGCCGCACAGCGAGAACACCTGGGAACCATCACGTCACCTTACCCACGCAAAGGACGTCCTGAGAGACTGGCAGAGGAAACAATCAAATCCAGACACACGCATTCGCCTCCTGCCAACGCTCGAAGCTGGACACTGGGACTATCTCATTCATCGCTACAAGCCCAGGGACGAGCACCTTCCATATCCCCAACGACAGCTCTTCGACCCTTACGAGAACGTCTTCTTACCCATTGGCCTAGTCGATGAGGACATCGACCCTAGAGAGGGGGTAATGTCATAGTTCGGCCACTTTTTCATCTTATCATCGACGATCTTTCTTATCTTGGCACAATCTATCTTATCACGGATCACGGCATCAGACGGTCCGGACTAGGGGTTTCAGGGATTATCTTCATCGATTCGAGGCTGCGCGACATATGCTCCAGAAGGTTCTACTACGACCCATGACCAGCGTTCCATGCGGTACATAGCCCCGTGACTCATTTGTTGTAGATATGACTCAGACCGGATTTGGGTATAAATACTGTAGCTACTTGGTTGTATTCTCCAGTCTTCGAATTCACTTCTCTTTTCGACTTTGTTTTTGGGTTGATTGTCACAACTCCTCGTAATCAGCTTCTCAGTGTGTGAAAGATGCGAGGGCTTCGGGGTGGACAGAACACCAGTATCACAACTCTCAATAGACGCAGATCAATAGTCGCGGAAGACGAAGTCGACGACAAGGATATATATATAGTAAACAATGGTGTCTCAACCAATATCTTCTATACGAACACAACCAACACTAATCCAATCCACAACCAACAATATAACAAGTCAGAACTTAATACGAAGTATTAAGATCCCTTGTAGCGACAGCGTCCAGATGGTGACGCAAAGCCCAAGTATCAAGTCGACGCACTGCCAACTGACCAAAACAACCCGAGCACAACTAGTCGACGCACTGCCAAGCTAGAGGTGTGGAACGATCTCAACAAAAGCCCAAAAGGGTGACGGCACTAAATGCCGCGACAATACCAGATGCGGCTAATCCGACTTTCTGATATCTCAACTCAAACTCAAATCACAGTAGCTACAAGTGCTCAGGGAGCAACTCGTTGCGACCGGGCAGGGGTAGCAGAACTTCTTAGGGTGGAATCAC